CATGCAGCATCAAGAAAATATCAGCAACTGATTCGGACCTGCTACCACAGCTAAACAGCACAAAGATTCAATTTCAAACAGAAGTATCGTACATTCAAATACAGTGACTGATATTAAAATTATATTTACCAGACAATGGTAATTGACATACCATAATTTTTTTTTCTTTTTACTTAGATTATCATGGTATTTTGAAGACCACAGAGTTACAGCTGTTGGTAAAGGGTGGTTTTTGAATAATATACTGGTTACATCACATCTAAATTAAACAGCCCAAAATTCCAATAATGACAAATATATCGTCTATTTTTTCCAAGAAAAAAATCAGTGAACTTGCTAAGTTAAACTCTAGGATCTTTTCCTCTCAGATACAAAAGATAAATATGAAGAAATACAGAAATAACAGTACAATACAATATAAATGTGGAATGTAAACATCTGCAGTGGTTTCAACATTTCATTGGCAGAAGCTGCTCATAAATATACTTCTTAGAGACTGCAATTGTTATAATGCAGAAAAGCAACTTGGATTGAGATGGAAATTCTTTACCATTCATGTGGGAAAGCAGTTCATCTGAAATGCTGCATTTAGACCTTTCAGCAGATCTTTTAAATTTGAGGGCGGGTGATAAATGTAGTCTAAATACTCAGTTAAACTTGTTTTGCTCTCTTATAGGCAGATACAATTGCAGAAGGAGAAAGAGAATCACCAAGAACTTCTGCTGCTTTGAACAGGTAACTGAATATGGCATTTTTACATAAATATAATACTATGTTTTGTATTATTATGACACCAGGGACCCCAGTCAAAGACTGGGACCCCACTGTATTAGGTGCTGCATGAACACAGATCCTGCTACAAATAACTTACATTATATAAGCATAAGATAAGAGACCACAAATGAGATGGGAGTGGTAAATGGTGATTTGCACTGCTCCCGATCTAATCCCTGGCAAGCAGTTATAGGCACTATGGAAAAGAAGAATCTGAAGGAGGGTTTTGAAGGAGGATAAAGAGGAAACACTGCTGATGTTTATAGGGAGCGCCATTCAGGATAAGGGACAACAGAAGACAGCACAAAGGGACTCATTTGAAAACCTAACAAGTGGACATAGGAAGTCGCATCATAGGTCAGTCGGAGGTAGATACCAACATCTTAATCATGAATGAGAGAGGAGAGAGAAATTGTGGACAGGCCAGGAAGGGCCTTGAAAGCAAAAATGAGCAGCTTATGTTTAATGCAATTGTGAAAGGGCAGCTACAGGAGACAAGCAAAGGCACAGGTGATATGGTCAAATAGGAAAAGCAATCTTTTCCCAAGCTGCTAGAGCAGTGATATTCAATCAGATTGCCATGACACCCTGGAGTACTCCAGATCCTTTGAAGGGTGGGCAGGGTGCGAGGTAAGTGCAGGCTCTGGACGTAAGCACTAAATAAATAAATGAGTTTTGGAATTGTGTGCCAAACTCACAAAAGTTATACAGGGGTACTCCAAGACCAATGAGGGGTCTCTCAAGCCTATAAAAATGGAGAAACTAGGGGTGCACTGATAGAGATTTTTGAGGTCGATACTGATAGCCAATATTTAAGGAGGCATATCAGCCAATACCGATGCAGTTTCTCATACAGCTGCCTCCAGCTGGCAAGTCCAGTGTGGTGGACTTATGCTCCCCACGGTGAGGAAGGTGCTGGGGCAGGGGTAGAGGCTACCCAGGCAGGGTGGGGGGCAGGGTGGAACTGCGGCTTGTGCGGGGAAGGCAGGTCCCACCACTGCTTGCACCCTGGGAGGGCATGGGGGGGCATGTGCACCCTGGATCTGCATGGGGTGGGGTGG